TGCATGGGCAATAGACACAAAAAATGGAGCCCATAGACCCAAAAGCTGTATGCATTGAAAATTCCTGCAAAGAAGAATGTAGAAGGATGAGATGAACTACAGTTTACACATGGTTTGTCCATCAAAGGCTTGTGTGTTGGAAGTTGTGTCTCTAGGATGGCAACACTAGGAAGTGATGAAACTTTTCAGAGGTTTAGCCTATAGGGAGGTCCTTATATTGTTGAGGGTGTGCTCTCAGAAAGGATTAAGCAGGCTCTTATCTGGCCCCTTGGAATTTCTTGCAAGAGGAAGTTATAAAAGCCTAGACTTGATCACTGAGCTGTTGTCAGGATTCCTGTATTGCAACGGGATAACTTGTTACCCAGCACATTCGTGCCACTGCCACCGACCAGTACCAAGGGATTCTGTTCCCCCTGTTGGACTGCAAGCTTCCTGGGGTTTCCTATTCTATTAAAAACACGAAACAGTTGTTTGCATTCCTGTGCTGTTACGGCATACAATCCCACAAGAAATGCTTTTACCAAAAATAATCTCCTGAGCTGACAGAACCAGCCACAACCAGCCCTGCACGGAGAATTGCTTTATGGTCCATGATAACACTAAACAACACACCTGTGATGACATGCCCTCTTTATACATATGACATATATAAAGACATGATTTACCAAGGCAATGTTCAAAGGACTTTCCTCTCCCTTTCCTCATACCTATCATGATCTGCTGCTTTGTTTCATCCACTTTTGCTCCAATTACCCTGACTTCCTTAGATGCCCAGACCTCCCTTCCCATGAGATGATCAATTTGGACCTCAACACAATTTGCCACTTTATTCCTCCAGGTCTGTAATAAAAATAAGCATCCTCTTTCTTAAAAGTGAATTTGTGTTTTACAAGAATTTGTGTATAACAAGAAGGATATCTGGCAACTCCACCATAACGTGGCACAGCTAGGGAGCACTCACCAGAACCACAGCCTAGGTCACCACCATGTCGTTGAAGCTCCCAAACACTAAGCCAAATGAGCCTTGTTTCTTTATCAAGTTGGCTTGCATCACGTATTCCAGTATAGCGTCAGGAAGCTGATCTGTACAAGATGGACAGCCTGGGGGAACCTTACCCCAAAAGGGATGCTCCTTTCTTACATCGTCACCACGCAAGAGACAAAGACACCCAGGACTTTTCTCCAGAACAGGCAGAAATCCTGAACGCAGGTCTGTTCTGATTTGGCCACATTAGCTGTGAGCTGACTAGAATAACAAATCTGGTGCTAACTTCTTGCAGAACCAAGCAGGAACAGAGCTTTTGCCTTATTACTGTTTCTCCTGCAAATTACTCGAGAGCTAGTAGGCGTCCCAGGATCTCTTTCTCTCCCAGAGTTCCCAATTTATTCTCATTATTCCCCAGCTCAGGACCCCAACAATACTAAGACTCAATAGTTAAAGATGCAGAAAGGAAAATTAATATTTTCTACATATACTTCCTCATCTTGGGTAGATTTATGAACTTTATTCCAGTTATGTAAAAGTTGGCATTTTTATCCAGGAAGGGGGGGGGGGCTTAATTGTGTTTTTATTGCCCCCAGAACTCTGAAGACATCTTGTGCTATGTTGTCATTTACATTTCACATTAAACTCAAAATATGTTTGAAATGAGCAAATATTTGTTTTAATTTGATCCATCTGTTAAATGAAATACTAAAAAGACAGTTAAATCACTATATTAAATTCAACGATGTGTAAACAATTTATATGTTCATTTGTTTTGGGTTAAAAAACGCCCTAAAGCTCAAGCTTTATGAAACCCACAAAGTGAATTGCATTGTATTAATCTGATAGGTTTCGACCATGATTTCTTCCTTTCCACTCCATTAATTTATTTCCTAACTTGAGTTAATTAGTGAAGTTTCCATTTTTCAAGCTCCTTGAAAGGCACTGAGAGAGGGGGAGCTTGGCAAGCAGTGCTGTGCAGGCCTAATATAGAGCAAACAGGCTAAAGGCAAACACTAAATTCCCTCCAGACATTATCACACATTGAGCACCTGATTGCAGTCCACCATCTTTATGCCAGGAACACAGTGGGTGACTAACAGAACGCTGTTTTGGGAGAGAGAGAAAGAGCTTAAAGCAAAGAACAAGAGCAGCAGGGAGAATCGCCAACACGATCAGGCAGTCTTCTAGGTCCTATCCATCTCCAAATAAAAGTCTGATCCAGGCGCCAGGTTAATTGTGGCCAGCATCAGAGCAGGAGTTTGAGTCCTGGGTGTTTCACTTCAAATCAAGTCTCCTGCTAATGCAACTGGGAAAGCAATGGAAGACAGCACAAGCATCGGGCCCCTGCCACACATGTAGGAGATGAGAATGAAGCTTCTGGCTCCAGGCTTGGGCCTAGCCCAGGCCCAGCTGTTGCTGTCATTGAGAGAGTGAACCAGTGAAACAAAAATCTCTCTCTTTCTTTCTCTCTCTCTCTTTCTTTCTCGTTCTCTTTCTCTCTTTCTCTTTCTCTCCTTCTCATTCTCTCTTTCTCTCTCTTTCTTGCTCTCTCTTTCTCTCTCTCTCTCTCCCTCCCCCCTTCCATCTTGACCTCTCTGTCAGTCTGTTTTTCAAATAAATAAGTCTTGAAAAATGTTTAAAGTTTGTGCTAAGCCAATTCGTTAAATCATTTTTTTAAAATTGATTTTTTAATCTGAAAAACTGAATTACAGAAAGAGAATGAACACGAGGTAGAGAAGAAATTTTCCATCCACTGGTTTAGTCCTGAAATGGCCACAACAGCCAGAGCAGAGCCAAGCTAAAGCCAGAAGCAGGAGCTTCTTCCAGATCTCCCAGGTGGGTGCAGGGACCCACCTGACTTGGGCCATTCTCCATTGCTTTCCCAGGTACATTAGCAGACAGATTAATTGGAAGTTATGCAGCTGGGTTCCTATACGGGATGTCAGCATCACAAGCAGTGATTTAAGTTGCTATACAAAATACCCATTCACTATTCAATTCCATGTTACAAAATGGAGACAATTTGATATACAGAATTCAATGGGGGAAGATCAAAGAGTTACCCAGAGACATACAAAAAACAAACAAACAAAAAAAAAATAAAGCAAAGGAGAAATTAGGAAGAGAAAAACAATAAGTTCTTGCTGTTTCTTTTGGTAAACATCTGAATTCCTAGGTTATATTAGGAGGTAATTGAAGACCACCTCCTAGTTCTTATTTATATATTGATTCCTATCTGTCTAGGACACAGCGCTGCATTGTGAAAGGAGAAAGGAAGAGAGGCAGAGAGAGAGAGAATGCAAGAAGGGAGGGAAGAAAAGGAATTCATCACACTGAAGTATACATTGCAGCAATAAGTTTAAACTATGCCTAAGGGGACACAGAAGAAATAGCAACTTTACAAAAAAAGTTCAAGCTTTAGACAATTCCATGTTGATACTTTCCTGGAGTACTTTAAGAAGCAGCCAGTGGATGACAGAGATGGAGCTGGGAGGGGAGTCCTTCACCAAATCCCCAGTAACATCTGCCGAAACTCTCTGCTCTCAGACAGGATGGCCCTGGGAGGCAGCATCTTCCTTGCCACAGGCCTGCCCTGCTTCATTTTCCCTCCACCCACCCCAAACCTGTGTGAGTCTCAGGCACACACTCTCACCTCCCTGCCATGACAACAAGGTGGGGAACCTCTTGAAGTTGCCTCGAGTTGATTTTGAACGACTTCTCTGGCGGCTCCCTAATGCCTCCTCTCCAGATGGAATACTGCTCACCTGGCACAGCTGAGAAGGCAGAGGCAACATTTCAAAACTGAAAGCCCCCTCCTCTCATTTCCTACAGTGTAATCAGGACAGCTGGGCGGGGACTTGGTCTGGGGAGATCAGGGGCAGCACTGGAACAACTCGGAGCTCTTTCTGCCTCTCCCCAGTGACTTCCAGTTTTTCTCACTGCTAACTCTCTGAGCCCTGGAACCTGTTACTCAGGTTTCCCACTAGAGAGCAAATAGCACCAAGATTGTATTCCTTCTCCTGGTAGCCACAACAGAGAGGGGAAAGGGAGAAGGAGGCAAGGAAAAGCATTCCGTCCATCAATCCCTGCTCTACTCCCAATTCCCACTCACACACACACAATGCCATCTGCTTCCTCCCTCTGCTAAAAGCCTCTGTTCACACAGACCTCCTGTGTCTCCATTAAAGGCCTGTATCTCAGAAGATAGAAACAGGTCCCCCTTCCAAGGCCTACAGACTGAATTATTTTAAATTCTCCCCTCTAAGTGGAGAACAGGCTTCAATCTGCAAAACCCACAACAAAAACCTCAACCACAAGCGGCATTCTCTGTATAGAAGGTATTTAGGCAGATCAGCCCGGTCCTCGGAATCTACAAGGCTGGGTATTCTGGTTCGGATGTAACAGACCAGGCTACTATATCCCTCTGCCATGGAAGGAACAGGTCAGGTCCACGACAGCCAAAACCTGAGCACCACCCTGGGGAGTGGGCCTGGGAGTGCCAGCTTGTTAAGACTGAGTCACAGATCACTCCAGGAGGAAGACTACAGAAGCCTGGCTTCCCCCCCACACACACCAGAAGGAGAGAAATGAGAATAAAATCAAGTGATCCGTGAAAACCTCTCTCTCCCAGCTTAGATAAACGAGCCCCCTTATCTCTGCAGAACTTGGTCCTTTGGACAGGACTTTCACCTCTCCCTCATTACCTAATGCGTCCGTCCCATTTCCCCATTTACTAGCCTCATTTTATCACAATGTTTATGGGCTGCCCCAGGTGGAAGAGTTGGTATTGTGGAAGATACCACGGATCCCTCATCTACACACTTTCCATCATAACCCAAGCACCCAAACACAGAGACATCCACAGCCCCAGATCAGTGTCAATGTCCTTTGCAACCTCCATGAATTCAAGATCACGTGCGCAGGGCAAGCTTTCCTGTAAAATTGACCCCGGGTGCAGTAGCAAGGACAGCACAGGAGGCAGCCCTCTGTTGCCTCCCACATTGGGACTTACTGAGGAAGATGATGGTCTGCCTCCTGGCGGTCTTGCTCTCCTGGCTCTCCGTCTTTCTCAGTTGCAGCTCAGGTCCAGTTCCAACCAGCGTGCCCGTCTTGCTCCTCCTGAGCACCTGCATCATGTTCCAGCACATGAAGGCCACGGCAACCAGCACCACGAGGTAGACGATGAAGGCACCAAAGATGCTGGACTGGAAGACAGTCCAGCGGCTGGACAGGTTGGTACAGATGGACATGTTGGAGGTCTCGGGTTGTTCATGGTGGCGGGTACGGGTGCGGTTGCAGCCACGTCCCTGGACACTGGGCACATTCAGCAAAGGATATTCCACGCCCATGGCAAAAAGCAAGGGCAAGGCCACCAGGGCCGACGTGACCCAGACAAAGGCAATCAGCAGCTTTACCTTGCAGGGCCCTGACAGGGCCTTGTACCTGAAGGGGTGACAGATGGCCACGTAGCGCTCGAAGCTCAGTGTCAGCACGTGCAGCAGCGTGGCGTAGCTGCATGCTTCGAAGAGGAAAGTGTGAAGCTTACAAGACAGGGAGTAGCTAGGTGTGGTCAGGGGGTTCCAGATGATGCTGTAGAACTCCATGGGCATGCCAATGAGGAAGACCAAGATGTCCGAGCATGCCAGACTCACCATGTGGTCCGTCACTTCCTTCTGCAGGTAGCCCTTTTTCTGCAGCACCTGAGTGACCCGGATGGTGATGCTGTTGCCCAGGATACCCACCACAAAGATGAAGAGGTACACCAGGAAGAGGGTGATTTTGATCCAGGTGGACACCTCAAAGTTGGGCACATGGCTGTGGTCGATGACATAGGAGCAGTCGCTGCTGGAGGGTCTCGGTGATGCCATGAGGACAAGGTGCCCGTGTCACAGGCTCTCAAAACTTCCTAACTTTCCTTTCTCCTCCCAGCACACACCCCAGAAATCTTGGCTGCAACTCACCAGAGTGGACGCTGGCCTTCTCTTAAGTTCTGGTCCCCGGGGAACTTGGTGTTTCAGGTGCTTTCATACAAACTTCCTGGAGCAACTCAACCTAGGAGAGGCCCGAGGCACCCGGGAGGGTGGAGTTTGGGGACGTTCTTGTAAGAGCGAGGGGAGGAGCAAGCGCGGAGGGAAGGGGCTCTGATCTCCTGGTCTAGATAGCAGACCCGCAGCTCCTAGGCGCGCCCGCCCTATGCTTCCTCGCCCCGGGGTGTGCACTGCACCTCCGACAGACTGTTCTGCTCTCTCCTTCCAGCTTCCTGACGCTGTCCTGCCCCGGCCCGCCCCACAGGAGCACCCTCTCTGGGCTGCGGGAGGCGGAGTGGTCAGTGATCAATCATTAACCACACCAGACTGCTCAGCGGTTGTGCTGCAGACCTAGCCCCGCGGTGCAGTTTGACTCAGCACACAGGCATGGTCCCCTGAAGGTGGCAGCACCACCCGCGTCACTTTGGCGGCCACTGCCAAGTCACTCATTCCCCTCTGCCGTGACCTGGACGAACTTCTCACGGAGAGGGAGCCGGAGCCAGAGCCCGAGCCAGGGAACAGCTGAATTAAGCTCACGGGCTTGCAGAAAGTAAAACTTGTCCTGGTCCCAAGTCTGGCCCCTGGGGGTGGGGAGCCAGCAGGTGCCCGCCTCCTGGGCGTTCTGCCCTTTGGGCACTAGGGAAGTTGGCTGCAGTGGAAGCCGGCAGCGAACGCCTGAAGCTCTGGGAGTTTCAAGCAGGGCCCTGTCTCGCCTTCATGCCAGGGATCCGAGGAGCGCGTTTCCGTTTCACTGCGCCACTCTCTGGCGCCGGGAAGTCCCTCTTAATTGGTAACATGCATATGCATGAAGGTGGCACCGTTGGCCAGGGTGCTCAGGATGGGGAAATGCAAACTTGAGCGGGAGCTGTGTCTAGAACAGCTGTGTCGAGGACAGAAGGACCACTGTGTCAAGATTTATTTTATTTGAAAGGCAGATTTACACACACACACACACACACACACACACATACACACTCACACACATCTTACGTTTGCTGGTTCACTTCCCAGATGTCTCCAATAGCCGGGACTAAGCCAGGAGCCCCTTCTGGGTCTTCTAAGGGAGCACAGGGGCCCAGCACTTGGGCCATCTTGGATGTCTTCTCCAGGAACGCTAACAGAAAGCTAAATCTTAAGTGGTGCAATTGGAGCTCTAACCTCAGCCATAAAGCCTATCAACATTGCAGGCAGTGGCTTAACTAGTTTTGCCACAAGACCGGCCCTGAGCTCCATATCAAATATAGCTTTAGTGACATTTTCCCTCTTTGATGAGAGAACAGCCTCTAAAGAATCCATTTTGATTTTATTCCAACAGCATAAGGGTGGGAGGTGGGTACAGGGCAGGGAGGCAGATCCTTATGCATGACTGGATTCATCCAATAGAGACAGCCAGAAGGGCTTGGGACATTGCCTAATGGGACAGGGAGGGGGTGGGACAGAGCCCATGTCCCTCAATATCAAAAATTACTGCTTTGGCACACAAACTGTGGCATGTAACACCAGCCTCCCATATCAGAGCACTGGCTTCTCTGCTTCTGACTCAGCTCCCTGCCAATGCACCTGGGAAAGCAGTCCAAGACGGCCCAACTGCCTGGGTCCCTGCATGCACATGAGAGACCCCAGCAGGGCTTTGGCCTTCTGTCTTCCAACTGGACCACAACTGGCTGCTGCAGCCAATCGAGGAGTGAACCAGGGGATAGAAGATTCTCGCTCTCTCTCTCTCTGTGTACCCTCCCACTCCTCAAAAAATATCTAAATATCCTTTAAAACTAATAAAGAACCACTGTCTTGAAAAAAGAAAAAGGTTTGCTTTATCTGTACAAACAAAGGGCCTAACAAAGGCTGAGTGCTCCAAATATCCCTAAATTATGTGATCATTTTAAAGACAAACTGACTGGGGTGTCCAGAAAACAGATGTTTCCTCTAAGGCCATAAAAACATGAATGAGAGGGGCAGGCAGAGTAGAATATCAAGATAATCCTGCAACTGCAGTACCAGTATCCCCTGTGGGTTCAAGTTCTAGACCCAGCTGTTCCACTTCTGATCCAGCGTCCTGCAAATGTTCTGGGAAAACAGCAGAGGAATACCCAAGTTCTGAACCCTGCGCCCACATTGGACATCTAGTGTGGGAAATCACTCCTGGATTTCTGCCTGCTTGATCTATGTGGGAAGTCATAGGCACACAGCACACTATGTCTCTGGGGGAACCCCTGACTCTGATTTCAGCTGACTGAGACCTCAGCTCGGCCTGTTCATTGGCTATACAGGTGAGGGTGGTGGGTTGTACCCCAGTTTCTCTTCGTTGTCCTTGGACAAGCTGGAACTTCCTTGATAAGCAACTCAGAGAAGTCTGTGTGGTCCCACAGTGTCTACCAGCCACATGTGGTATATGTGACCTTCAGGTGACCTATAGACACATGTGGTAAATTTGACCTGTAGCATATACCTGCATATACCATGCATATACCTGCATGTACCATGCATGTTGTACGTGACCTGTTACATGATTGGAGGGTCCAGGAAAATAGACATGCCTTCTAGCCAATCACAGTGCCATTGCTGGGTGGGAGGATTATTGGGAGATGTGCTTCTGCCTTCCATGTAAGTTTGTGTTCGATATGCTCAGACTGTCTCCAGTGGCCATGTGCCTGCTGAACAGTATCGCCTCAACCCCTCAGTGCTTTCAGGGGCCTGCTGGACAGGAAATCCCTGAGAATTTAGAAGCCCCTGGTTCCTGGTTTTGGATTAGCTCAGCTCCTGCCATAGCTGCCATTTAGAGAGTGAAATGGTGGATGGAAAATCTCCCCATCTCTCCCTCTCTTTAACTTTGACTTTCAAGTAAAAATAAAATTTCAAAAATGATGTGAATGAAAGAAGACTTCACTTACACAGAGACCCTTAAACATCATAGATACAAAGAGTAGAACAAGGGTGGAAACCAGGGGGCAGGGAGGAAGAGGAAATGGGAAGAGATAAGCCAAAGGGCACAGACTCACTGGTTCAGACGAGTATGTCTGGACCTCAAATGCTCAGCAGGAGGACTGTAGCTAACAGTATGTAATTTGACAATTTAGATGTATCACATACATGAAAGGAGTCATGCCGAAAGAAGCTATGGAAATTAATTGGTGTGATGGTAGTAATCGTTTTGTTATGTACATACATATCAGAATCTCAGATGTGCATCTGAAATTTAGCCGATTCTAAGAGAGGAACTTGGAAATTAACCCAGACTTGTATGGTCCCTTAAATCAATAAACGAAGAGGAGGGACTCCGGGGAGCGAAATAAGTGCTCAGGAAATCCACTCTGAATGATCCACATGGAAATATGAAGACTGTTTTGTTATTTTTAAGATTTATTTACTTATTTAAAAGTTGGTTACAGAGAAGGATGGAAAAACAGAGAACTTACATCCACTGGGTCACTCCCCAAATGGCCACAATGACTGAATCTGGGTCAGGTCAAATTCAAGTGTCAGTTGCTTCATCTGGGTCTCCCACATGGGTGGCAGGGACCCAAGTACTTGGGCATCTTCTGTTGCTTTTCCCAGACCAGAGAAAAAGGGAGCTGAACTAAAAGTGGAGCAACTGGGACATAAACTGACATCCTTATGGGATGCTGGCATTATAGGGCAAGGCTTTATGTGTTATGCCACAGTGCCTACTCCTGACACTGTCCTTTCTGAGCCAAGCCTTGGGCCTGTTGTCTAAAGCTCTCAGGTATACTCTGGCTTTGGCACTACCACAGGGAAGTTAAGGTTGTATGGCTGAAGGGTTCTTACCTTAGTTTTATCTGTGGCTAAACTGCGGGGTCTACCCCCACAGATTCCTTTAGTACCCCGTTACCGGAAGGGATGAGCCTGCTGCCCACCACCCAGCCTCCTGACCAGCGAGAGACAAACAGACGGACAGGGGTTCTGTCTAAGCAGTTCCAGTTTATTGGGGAAACTCACTTTCTTATATAGAGTAAGGGATAGCCTCAGGCTGGGAATTTCAGGAATTCCAGGAGAGGAGAAACTAGGAGCCAATTACTAGGAGGAGAATGACTGCGGAAGCCACCTCCCATAGGCCAGGATATGTAAGTGAAATGGCCCTGGTCAATCAGTATTTTCTTGGAGCTAGGAGACTCCTGCCCTGGTTCACACCCAGAGCTCTGTCCTTGGCCGTCATCTTGCCTGCCAGTGACCTGGACTGTTAGTCGCCATCTTATTGACTTAGTGACCTCTTTGCCCCTGAGACCCCCAGCTAAACTGCTTTCTGTCTCCACTTGCTGGCTGTTAAATTTCAGTTCTGGAAGTCGGTGTTATAGCCTGGCAGGCTAAGCCCTCACTGGTGCATGTGCCATCTGCCCACTTCCAATCCAGCTCGCTACTAAAGGGCCTAGAAAAGCAGTGGGAGATGGTCCAAGCACGCAGGTCTCCACCCATAGGAGGAAGACCGGAATATAATTGCTGACCCCTGGTTTCAGCCTGGTGCAGCCTGGGCCATTGAGGGCATTTGGGAACAAACCAGTGAAGGGAAGGTTTCTCTGTCTCTTTGTCTGTGTAATTCTGCCTTGTAAATAAATACATCAATCTTTAAAAACAATGTCTCAACTCCAAAGCAAAAGACTGTCTCTTCTTCCTCTCTGACAACTCTCTGAAGTACTAAACAGCCAGTTGGGCTGAAAATCGCACCACTTCCCGCGTGAACTGTTTGACCTACTTGCTGACCGAGAACCTCCTGACCTCATTTCCTTATTAGTGCAGTGTGCTTAGCTGAAAGACCTTGCACCTGTCCCAATAAGCTCATAGAATATTGTGGACTCTTCAGGGGCTTTCCTAGCCTGGATCAGGACCCA